AGCCTCCTGTTTTAGTAAAATGGTGGCCGTGATGGTAGTAATCGTGCTTGGTGTTTTAACATCAGTCAAGTCAGGACAAACACCAGGCTTGTTCACTGTGTCTATTGATGATGAAACAGGGCCAATTTATTTCCCACACCTTGCCTGTGTTTTACAGAACTCATACAGTATGGACCCTACGTGAAAGCACCACGTTTGGCAAAACCTCTCGCCAGATTCCTAATCTTGCTGCACTACAAAAAAATCCTGCAGAAATAAATCATCTAGAAAGCTCTCGCAGTGGAAAGACCTTGCCGACTCACTCGTCACCCAGCCATGGTGCCCAGTCTCCTGCCAGACACAGTACCTGTCAGTGTAAGAAGTGTGGTGTACCTTGCAGATGTGTCTGTCACCTGACCGCTCTTATGAGAACTCTTAATGGGAAGACCCCCCACAGATGTAAGGCCTGTGGAAAGGACTTCCTTTGTATCTCAACCCTCAGTCAGCCTGCACCGATACTGCCAGGTGAGAAACGCTATCTGTGTGATGAGTGTGGAAAAGATTTCTGCAGCTTCCCAACCTTCTGGAAACATCTAATAACTCATCGGCGTGAGTGCATAGAGTGTCACAAGACCTTCAGTCATTATTCATCTCTCATTTTTCGTAAAAAGGTTGGTAATTCAAGTAAGCCTTATGAATGTAAGGAGCGTGGGAAAACCTTCAGTGACGCCTCCTCCCTCACGAACCATGTGAGAATCCACAGTGGAGACATGCCGTTTGAATGTAAGAAGTGTGGGAAAGTGTTTAGGCAGGCCTCAGACCTCACTACACACAGAAGAATCCACAGCAGACCAAAACCATACAAATGTAAGGAGTGTGGGAAATGTTTTAGATGTTCCTCATACCTCACCACACACATGCGAATCCACAGTGGAGAGAGGCCTTACAAGTGCCAAGAATGTGGGAAAGCCTTTATCAGTAACTCAGCCCTCACTGGGCACGTAGTTATTCACAGTGGCGAGATGTCTTACAAGTGTGTGGAATGTGGCAAACTCTTCAGGCGAGCCTCAAACCTCAGCATGCACAGAGCAATCCACAGCGGAGAGAGACCTTATGAATGTAAGGTATGTAAGAAAACCTTTGGCCGTTCCACATCCCTCACTTCACACATGCGAACTCACAGTGGAGAGAAGCCCTATGAATGTAAGGTCTGTGGGAAGACCTTTAGTCAAAGCTCAGTCCGCACTGCACACATCAGAACCCACACTGGAGAGAAACCGTACAAATGTAAGGACTGTGGAAAAGCCTTTCGCTATTCCTGGGTCTTCAAGTGCCACGTGAGAATCCATAGTGGAGAGATACCATTTTTATGTAAGGATTGTGGGAAATCCTTCAGGAAACCCTCAGACCTCACTATACACAGAAGAATCCACAGCGGAGAGAAACCTTACGAATGTAAGGAGTGTGGGAAGACCTTCAGTCAAACCTCAGCCCTCACTACACACATCAGAACCCACACTGGAGAGAAACCATATGAATGTAAGGACTGTGGGAAAGCCTTCCGCTGCTCCTCATTCCTCACTAAGCACATGAGACTCCACAGTGGAGAGATGCCATTTGAATGTAAGGAGTGTGGGAGAGCCTTCAGGCTCTCCTCAGGCCTCAGTACACACAAAAGAATTCACAGCGGAGAGAAACCATACAAATGTAAGGAGTGTGGGAAATCTTTTAGTCGTTCCTCATATGTCACCAAACACATGCGAATCCACAGTGGAGAGAGAAAGAGTGCCAAGAATGTGGGAAAGCCTTTATCAGTTCTTCAACCCTCACTAAGCATGTAAGAATTCACAGTGGCGAGATGCCTTATGAGTGTGTGGAATGCGGCAAAGTCTTCAGTCAAGCCCAAACCTCAGCACGCACAGAAGAATCCACAGAGGAGAGACCTTAGGAATGTTAGGTATATGAGAAAACCTTTGCCCGTTCCTCACACCTCACTACACACACGCGAACTCACAGTGGAGAGTGTCCCTACGAATGTAACAGTGTGGGAAAGGCTACAGTCATGCCTCAAAACTCATTACACATAGAAGACTCCACAGTGGAGAGAAGCCCCTATGAGTGTAAAGAATGTAGAAATGTGTTTTTTTTTTCCACAGCCCTCACTGCACATATGTGAATTCACAGTGGAGAGAGGCCCTATGAATGTAAGGAGTGTGGGAAAGCCTTTTTCTAATCCTCAAGCCTCACAAGACATAGAAGAATCCACAGTGTAGAGAGACCCCTATGAGTGTAAAGAATGTAGAAAAGTCTTTACTTCTTCCACAGCCCTCACTGCACATATGTGAATTCATAGTGGA